ATTAATCCGATAAATCAGGGGATTGCCAAGCGTTCGAGACGTAGGGGGCTCTGCCCGAAGAGACTGCAAGAGTCGAAGAGGCTATATGCCGAAGCGGCCCCTTAAGAAGAGGGCAACTACGATGGCCTTCCATTCTTTCGAATGGACAGTCATCCATTTTTTTCGCCACGTTGTCACTCCTATTTTTTTCTATGTCATTCTGTCGGGATTGACGGAGAAGAGACGGCGAACGATCATTTCGATTATATTTTGTCGAGTCTTCATTGAAATAAATTTTTTCCTACTTAGTGATATGAAATATACCAGTTCAGTCAATTTAACGAGATCGATCTACCATTAATATTCTTGTCTTTTAGTTACTTATTCGCTGTCTAATCTCAGACTTCCTGGATTTTTTTTTAATGTTCCGTTTTGCCTGTTCTTTTGTGTCCCTTTCCAGGTTTAGGTGGATCACAACAGGATCCATTTTTTTTTTTTTCAAGTCATAGGTTGTCCATCGCTGCCGATCTTGCTGGACTTGTTGGTAAGAGATGTTAAAAGATGTTAAACGATATTTGTTATTACAGAGATGAGTTGGGAGCAGAGATGAGGAGGATTTCTGAATTTCCCCCTAATATCACCATATATATGTATATGGTGGGTATCAGGTGGCAAGTGCGTTAGTCGTCCGCATCCTCCACCGGGAGGCATCACAGGACGCGATTGCACGCGTCATGCTCGTGGGCAGTCTCCTAACTCATCTCTGGATATTTCTCTATGTGATCCAAATATCAATGATCATCAGCAAAGAATTAAGAAGTCCTATAGAAGCCTAGATCCTATGTTAGCGCTAGATGCTCTAGAAGTTGGCTAACAAGCCAGAAGAGGGGGTAAAAGAGTGTTTGCATGGTTAGCTAACGATATCTTACATACGGAAGGAAGAGAGACGCATATAGAAAAGCGAGTATGTGGGTAAGATAAAGAAAGAATGCAATTCGCTATATATCGCCATAAGATTAAGAGAGATGGAGAGATGTTCACAGCGCCGCCATCCGTTGGTTATCGTACTATTTATCGCGCATCGAACGTCCGTATCCTTCTGGGCTTTTAGGGGGGACTTCTGAATTCTTTGTCATCAGTGATGTGATCTCATGAAACATACTGATACATATGGATACGTATACATTTATACATTTATTTAATATGGAATTTCTCGTAAATGATAGTGAGGATGGATCGTGCTAAGGAACTAGTTGGAATGACTCATAATGAAAGAATCGTGAGTAATGCAGTTATGTATATACATAGATGCAATGATGCATATTAGTGCATGCTTGGGAGCTATAAATTCTTAATAAACAATGAAAGTGACAAACGAGTTATACTTTCTTAAATAACTTTTACAGTGTGTCAAAGCCTTCGATACATCGATCTCGTATATCAAACTGCATAAAAGTATATAAGCAGAATTACATGGACCGTGATTACCTTTCTAGTATCATATGATTTCGGACAATTATTACATGCATATCAGTGCATGCTTGGAATTATGAATTCTTAACAAACAATGAAAATGACAAACAAGTTATACTCTCTTAAATAACTTTTACAGTGTGTCAAAGCCTTCGATACATCGATTTTGTATATCAAACTGCATAAAAGTATACAAGCAGATATACGTGGACCGTGATTACCTTTCTAGTATCATATGATTTCCGACAATTATTGCACATGTTTTAGCATGGAGAGGAAGATGCGGTTCAGCTAGAGTCTCGGTTTGAATGCCCCATTTGTTTGACTTGGTTGCGCGACCCGGTACTAACGTCATGTGGTCATAGGTTTTGTTCTCAGTGTATTAATTCTTGGCTCGAGTAAGTTTGACATTCCTGTACGTTTTTATATTTTGTTAAAACATTCTGAGATATGTTTTATATGTAACTAGAAAGGAAGGAGCATGTTGCCCTGTTGATAGCAAACCATTGAAGCCTGGTAGCGATTTATTTAGAGATCTGTATACCAGTAGAGAGATATCGCAGCAACGCACTCACTGTCCATATCAACAGTTTGGTTGTACAGTGAAACTTTCACCCATTGACATGGAGTCACATGTAAATCAATGTCCATACAAAAGAGACTGCGATAATTCAAAGAGTATCCGCTGTCCCTTTAAAGACGTTGGTTGTACAGAGAATTTTGAATCGCAAGAAAGTTTACGATTACATTTGGAGAATAAAACAGGTGCTCATTTAACGGTATGTCGCAACGTCGATGTATTCTCCATGTTTAAAAACAATTCTAATAAGATCTTATTGTAGATGGTAGGGACTTCGTTGCCTCGTATTTTATCGCATCAGGCTGCAGCTAACGCAACTGCTGCTGAATCCCAGTTATGGGATCCTCCTGCAAAAAATAGAACCTCCGAGAAGGACCAGCCATCTTCGGACTGGCAGCAACTTTTAAAGTTTGTGAATTGTACCCGGAATGACATTACTATTTAGTTAGACGTTTTGCTGAGAAATATCTTTATTTCAGGCAATTATATGAACGGATAGTAGTATTGGAGCAACAGAATCAAGAATTATCGGCCAGTGTTACAATCCAACAGAAACAATTGACGGCCCTTCAAGCATCAGTGCGGTTTACTCAAGAAGAAATAGCTTTGCGCAGTTATAATGGAATTTACGTGTGGAGATTGAGTTCCTTTCAAGAGAAGTTGGACGCAATGCAGAGTGATCATCTTAAGATGTTTTATAGCCCTGAATTCTATACAAGTTATAACGGATACAAAATGTGTGCTCGGATAAATGTGTCTTCAAAGGATCCGCTCTTCCTCTCCGTGTTACTTCACATGATGAAGTCAGAGAACGACGACGCATTAGACTGGCCTTTCCACGGAGAGATGTACTTTGCGTTACTCCATAGAGTCGATTCTAAAAAGGACATTCGTGAGACTACAACATCCAGACCAGATCTCGAAGCCTTCAAGAAACCTGTTTGTGAATTAAATAAGAGAAGCTTCGGGTATACTGAATTTGTGCGCATCTCTGACTTGGAAGGCTACATACGGGATGACAGTCTACTTTTTAGGATAGAAGTCAGACCGCATGAACGACATACATTCAGAAACCTTAACCAGAACGAAAATTCCTGAATACCTAGAATTAATCGATCCTGACTCTCACTTGTGGATACACCTGCTTGTATACAGTGACAAGATAATTTCCAGAATGTAGACCATAATTATGTGAGACCCAGAGCACTTGAAACTGAAAAACCACTGCCAAATAGTTGAAAAAAAAAAAACAAGACCAATACAAATACACGTTTTTATTAACACCAGTAACGAGAATGGTCCTCGATTCTTAACCTGCCATTAGTGTCGTTAAAGTTGAATCGATTATTAGATCTTCGGGAGTATTTTGAATACCGCTTAAAAATCTGTGAAGCATGGCTTAAGAACTTTAAAGTGCACGCATTAGATTTCAGTAGTGTCGTTGCATTTGACGAAGCCTAGAGAAATACTTTCTGATCGTTCAAATGTTTAACTTGTTTACCCATATATTATGTAATGGTTATGTACGGTCACGCAGTCTCTTCCGCGTGTTTTTTTTTTTTTTTTAATATAAATCTGTCGGTCTGATTAATACTGTTCTGTATTAAAGTTAAGGCATCGGGCGATAAGAATCATCATTTGAATCTCAGCTCGTGACTACTGTGATTTTAAATTGTAGAGCAGAGGTAAACGGTAGGAAAAGTAGCACAGGTTATGACTGGTAGAAGACGCTGGAACACTTTCTAAGGGAAATCGTTGTATGTTCGACTTTGCCTTCTCTTAAGTTGCAGGCTCTGTATGCGGCTGTACTGTCGACAAACCGTGAGCAATGGATATAAACCTGGTGCGCATAGTGTTCATTTTCAATAGTTTATTTACGGGACTGATAGGAGTGCTGATTGGTGCGTGCGAGCCTTATTTGCCAATTGTTATAACGCGAACTTATTGCTATGGTAAGCACGCGGTGACTGCAGATCAACCGCTTGTTAAAAAAGTGGAAGTGCCAAAGAGGCAAGTAATTATGAGTTCTTATAATTATTACTTGACAGTTGTGTAGAAAATATATTCCTTCCAGATGGTTCGCTCACTTTTACATTTTTGCTGCCCCGGCTTCGACCTGTATGCTTCTTCTGGTGATTAACCGATATTGGTATAACATCGATGCACCCCAGTTTGTTTACAACATCTTGGACTTTTTATTGGGATCCTCGAGAAAATCATTAGGTAATTCTTGTATTGTTTGTAAAATACTTACGATAAGAAATAATCGCTTTGTCGATGTGCTGCGTAACTTTTGATTGTTTAACAGTGCCTCCGGAACGCACCTTCTTGGCTGCGATACTATTGACAATTCAGTGTTGGAAAAGATTATATGAAACGTGCTTTGTCAGTGTCTTCAGCGATTCAAAGATTAACATATCTCATTACATTGTCGGTTTTGTACACTATATCGGAACGATAAGTTCTGTTATTGGAGAGTCCAGAGGTTTCGTTAGAGGTAATGAAATTTCAGGATTCGAAAGTTTCAAGCACGTTTAACTTTAATACACTTTTACAGGCAGTGCAGGTAATTTTCACTGGGATGGTATAAGCTACACGTTGCGCTTCTGTGCTGCTATTTTCCTCTGGGCGTCTTATTGGCAATTGAAAACAAATTATACTCTTGTCAGATTGAGGAAAAATGAGAAAGGCGTAGTTGTTACAAAGAGTTACAAAATCCCTAGAGGTGAACTGTTTGATTACATCTCGGGACCTTTACAGTTTACGGAGATTTTAATGTATCTGGCCCTATCGATTATACTTTGGCCATCTACTACATACCACTGGATATTTATTTGGGTTTTAATCAACCAGGTAGATAATCACGACTACTGTGTGTGTTTTTTTTTAATTAAATTTATTATAAATAATTTCTTTGTTCCAGACATCGTGCGCTTTTATGTCTCATCGATGGTACTTACAGACGTTCAAGAATTATCCGAAGGAACGGAAGCGTTTAATACCGTTCATTTTATGAAAACTGGCACGACGAATTCAATTTATCAACGTGGAAAATAACAGACTGTTCTGATGTTGTGATAAATATTCTTCTGAAAACTAATTTATTGATGTAAACTGTTTTAAGTTAATAGGTACTAAAGCTGGGGCGTGTACTAGGATGTCGAGCCAATGAATTGTGGCTGAAACGTCGCCAAAGAGAATAATTTTTACTCCAATAAAGGAACCTCGGCAATCTTTCAGTACTTCGGCGTTTCAAATAATGAAAATAATTGATGTTTATCCTATCACCACTTTTCTAATCCATGTCATGTCGTATCTGGTTTATTAGAAATTCAACAGCACGTTTGAGCAGGCTACGATCACAAATTCTCTTTCTTCAATTATTTGAAAAGCAAACTGAAACAAGTGAGGTATATTAGAGTTTTGTACGTTTGTCCATTTTCATATTGTATCATTTTCAATCTAGACTGTATATGGATACGTAAAGAAGAACTAATTGTTCAGAGATAAAGTGCAATGTGTTTAAATATTATCTTACCTGTAAGGATATCCTAGAGCCTTATACCTGAAGCTTGATAATATAAGACTGAAGAACACAATGACTAGCCCCAAGCCAATGATAGCAAAAATTCTTCGCTTTTTAACATCGCCTTTACTCGCAGCAGCTTCAGTCATTAGAATCATTCCTAAAACCACTGCTCCATCTGTACATTGCAGTTAAGGAACATGCGACACTTGAAACATGTACAGGAAATTAAATACATCGACGGTACAAAAATTCTTAACGTTGGTATAAAATCATGTTTAAGTTTGATTCTCAGTTAGATGTATTAATTGTAAAGGATACTCAGCATCATAACTATATAAGTTTCCAGAACAAATTGTCCTTGAGAAGAATTGTGAAAGTAAGCCACGTTTCCATTAGGCGACTTTTGAATGAACGGTGGTCCCCTGATATGATTCCACATTTGACCGGACACCATGGTCAATGTGAATAACTGTCACAGATGGAAATTATCAAAGAGGATTCGAAATCTTTAACAGTACAACTAAAGTAAACATATGAATTCGTGTGTTACCACTGCTCCTAATCCCCAAATAGTTCTGTTATAGATGAAGTCCAGGTTGTTACGCCTAAGATACAACAGCCCCCCGATTAATATTAGAAGCATCACAACGGCTACAGTTCCTGAGTAATTGGGTGGCCTGAATACTCTGATCTGTTAAACAATGAAATAAGTTGAATGGTATAAAGCGAAACATTTTTATTAGATAATATTATCATACCTGAATATCTGTGCGCTCAGAGATCCATTTTGCAATTGCTTCTGCTCCGAAGCCTAACCTTTGGATATCCATTGTATCTGCTGCCTTTGGTCTACCTTTCGGAGGAAAATGCATGTAAACTGGTGCAGTGGTCAATCGCATCTAAAGCAGTTAAAATGTAAGTGTGACTGTCTGAGACATTTAACAAAACTGTATGGATTAAGTTTAGCCTTGTATTACCATTTGGAAAACATCTGAGCCTTCGTCAAAATCAACAGCAACAAAGAACAGTTTATTCGAATATGACTGAGAATAGCGGAAGGAGTTTGCCACTATCGCAAACTCATCAGCCGCGTGCCTGTGATAAAAGAATATTAATTAAAGGATATAAAAGGTGTATAAGCAAGAAATTAAATCAACGATGATTTACCTGCAGATCTGGCATTGCCATTGTGGCTCCATGGCGGTAAACATTACAACGACAGAGTAATTTCTCGGAGACGCTTTAATAAACTCTTTAAATTTCGCTCCATTAAACTTCAGCACTGGTCTTTTAATTGCCATTTCCGATAACTGTTGAACTCGTTCTGCTAAGGACGTACCTTGACTCTAAAAACATGTCGGTTAATTATTAAACCTGTCGTTATCTGTTAACAAATTCATATCTGTTGGGTGGTAAATAAAAGATCAAAGATTTTTGAGGTTATGCCGCTTTCCAATAACGAAGAGACAATTATAGCAAAATCGGTCTCATTTAATTTAATGTCATTCGATTTAAAGTACTCTAGATACAATGTGATTGCACTTTCCTCGAGAAAGGGATAATCATTTAAGTGTATTTGAAGAAATAAGCAATGTATACGCTGACGTGTCATCCACCGAGTCGGTTGGATTGATTCAAGAAAAACGAAAAACACCCTTACACTTTTCGTCCTGTATTGACAGTTAACATAGTTACAGTGCAGCAAGAAAACACCCAGGAGAGCAAAATAAACGTTGCACTTCATTTCGATTAATTCTGACAATCTGGAACGTTAAAAAACACGCATCCGTCCCTCGGCGAGAAAATGCGAGAGCAGACGAACAACGTCGTAAGCTCATTGGCTCGTTGGTTGTCAACGTGGAATTCGTGGAACCACGTGACCTGTTGGCGGAAAAATTAAAAGTAGGTATTTACAGCCGGGTTATCCCTTTACGACCAGGAATAATCCCGTATTACTTCACCAATTATTATGGCAATCAATATATATTAGACTAATTTAATAACAATTTCTTTTATACTAGGCTCTGTCGTGTATAAAACGATATTAACGATAATTTCTTTTGCGGTTACTGAGTGTAGAAAAGGATAAAGAATCGAGCGCGCCATCCGAGCGATCCCTCCTGGCCTGTGATTGGTCGACGCCGGAGCAGCCGGCACCTGATTGGTCGGCTCAAGAGAAGGCGCTCGCTGATTGGTCGGATTCGCAGTGTTGTGCAACCGTCGTTTCAAACGAAGGGGAGCCGGCGTCGAGAGCCGTTAAAGCTCCGAAAGGACAGTGTACCGCGATATTTTCCCGCGTTCGGAGCTCCTGCAAAGGAGCGATCGAGAATCGGATTCTTCAGTTAACCGTCCGCGATTTCAAGCTCCAAGGTTCTCCCAGGAAAGTTTCGCTTCCCCGGCTCGAAAAGAGCTCCTGGTTCTCGGTTAAGGCGGCGCAAGTACTCGATAAGGATGTCCTTCTCCAAAGCCAGGATTCAACGGTTCAACGAGCTCGGAAGTAATTATACGTCCCTACCCTTACTTAACTAACCTCGAAATATCCATCGTTAAAAAATACCATGTTACATTTCGAGATATATAAATTTTCATACTCTTGGTAACCTCTCGACGTCGCTTCCCGGTTTTCGCCATAACCTTTAAAACGGATCATTCATCTCCTCGACATATTCTGAGGGCTTTTTAACGAGGATAGTTCTTTAGTTATTCTTCGTTTCTTTGGGAATGCAGAGGTGATTGATGTTTAATTGCAGTGAATATCGGAATTACTGGGCATTATTTGGTCGAGGTGGGGACATTTAAATATGTTGTCAAGCGACGGCATGGAAAATGGCGGGAGGCCGATCGATTCGTCCAGGGAGAGGGGGAGTTTTGAGTCCACCTGGTCATTGTCAGACCCTGTCGGGACGTCCCTTTTTGCGTCCCTTTTTACGCTTCTTGCATCAGTGGCAGCTGCTGGCCATTTACGCCTGCTTTTATGCCATGCTACGTAATGCGCCTCCTCCTGGCGAGGTCTCCCCTGTTATCTTTCCTTCCTCTCGCGTTCCGCTAGGCTTGCGGCTCGGTTCCGGCATTAGTTTTATCAGGAATTTGGCTTTTTCCGATCAGCTGTTCCGCGGGGTTGGATAGTGACGCGTCATTCGAAGTTATTTACATTATCAATTAAATACTTAAGGTGAGGTGAAATACGCCGAGGAACTTGATCGACATCGATAAAGATTTTTCTAAGTGCCTAGGTTGCTGTCGTTCGTTTTTATATCGACAGCTGGGTCGAATTATATCGGGTATTGAACTAAATGGCATACTCCACATGTCGTTTTCGTACAATAATTATAAAGAAATCGAAATAAAACTCCAGAAATCCTCTGGATTCATGCTTTCCGGGGCCCTAATTGACTCCAGAGGGACCCCCTGCGCCATCTGTGATTTTCAGGTCAACTAAATTTTCATTCCGAGACCTCGTATTTCCATCGTTTTAGCGTAGAAGCGCATAAAACCCTTTTTTTGCCTTTATCCCGTTCAAATGCGAGTTTCTCGATTACCAGAGCATTCTAAATTGTCGGAAAATTGTCCCGACCCTTTCGTTTCTCATATCGGAGCCTTCGATAATTGTATATTGATCGAAATATGAGAACGACGTCATTTTGGTTCTGGTCTGGGCTAAGTTAAAAAAATTTGTCCAAAAATTGAAATTTTGAATGCGTCAGGACAATTCTTAGATGATCACGAGTCATGTGTCAAAGTTTCAGACAGTTTGGCCCAATACCCTTAAAAAAAAGTGTTGTATTTGAATCGACTGATTTGAGGGGGGTTTCACTTCATCTTAAGGGAAGTATCTTACGTAACATTAGGTTTGTTCGTGTTGATTGCACTTTATGCACTCGAGGGTAACGAGGGTACTACACTTTTCTTGAAAAGTGCAGAAGGGTACCCAGTGAACACTGTTATATAACTGTTGGGTAAACGTTACGTGTTCAAAACTAACATGTTAAGTAGCATAAAAGTAACATGGAAGTTAGATATCAGTTATTATTTCCCTCTCAGTAAGGTAACATGTTATGTAACATGTTATATTAATGTTATATTAATGTTATATTATTGTTATAATTTCAGTTACCTTAAAATAATATTAATTTTTCATACATTTAATAAAAAAGATCACGCAATTTTATCCAAAATTATATAATTTTTTATTTTTTATTATTTTTTGGTACTTGACAGTAGTTAGATATTAAATGACAAATCAGACTTTCAATGAAATTATGTAATGATAAACTATCTGATTTTACTTAAAGACAATTAGGATTTCATTCGACTAGCAATGACCGATAATGTATATGCACATGTATATGCAATTTACTGGTTTTCTATGATTTTATTTGGTAAACTACTTTGTTACTTATTATTCGTCATAGACCTCGAAGAATGAGGAATTACCCAACCCTGGCCGTTGCATTCCGTCACATAATTTCAAATCATCTTTTATGATGAATGTAACTTTTTAAACTGCACGCAAGGTTTTAATATGATAGTTAATTATTCTGGGACATTTTTAAATAAAATTTGTATTGAAATTGTGGGAGAAGTTTTTTAGGATCTTTTTGTTTTTTTGGCCAATTGTCCTTTCCGTCGCTTCCTTTCGAGTTTGAATATCTCAATTCAACCTTATTTAATTAATGGGTTGCATTCTCTCACATCATTTTAAGTTATATTTTATGATTGATGTTACTATTCCAATTGCATTTAATGTTTCGATAACAATGATTAATTTCCTCAGATTGTTTAGAATTATAATTTCCAGTAGGATTCGTGTGAAAGTGTTTTTTAAGATGAAAATGTTCTCTGCAACAGGTGAAGCCCCACCACCAGGTGCATACGACCCCAAGTTTGACGTCAAAGTTAAAGGTGCTGTCCTGGAAAAGACAGAACGATTCCAGGAATCGAGAAGCGTGTCCAGCAGCAGCGTAGAATGTGTAACGTCAGTTTCCAGCAAGGGTACAACAAATGCGGTTCCTCATTCATTCAGAACGGTAAAGAATAGCGCCATTTGTTGATTTAATAAAAAACTAGTATCGCTTGTCAGGATATGCATGAATTAAAAATTGTTACTCTTTTATAGCCACAATTGCCACGAAAGAAGATACTTGTGAAGCCATTACCAGCGAGTTGTCCTAAAAAAAGTAAAGTGACCACTGGCACGCCTAAGGCAAAGTATGAAATCGAAAATGAACTGGCGGACCTCAAGGTGGAGTGTCTTAATAAGGACAAAACAATCGCTGAATATGAACGACACATCGATGAACTTAGAGAAGAGATACAGAAATTGGGAACGGAACTGGCTGAGGTTCAGTCGAAGCAGGCCGAAGTGGAGGAGCAACACAGCAGGGACATAGAAGCGATGGTGATTATTCTTTGTTTCTAAAATGTTCCAGGGTTTAAGGTGAAGTGAAACCCCCCTCACATCAGTCGATTCGAATAAGACTTTTTTTATAATTATTGTACGAAAACGACAGATGGAGTATGCCGTTTAGTACAATACTCAATATACTTCGACAGAAAGCTGTCAATATAAAAACGAATGTCGGCAACGTAGGTATTTATAAAAACCTCTTTTACCAACGTCGATCAAGAGACTCGACATGTTTCACTTCACCTTAATGGACTCCTTTTGATCATGCTATTCCTTTAACAAGACTGTGTGTTTATATCCTTGGTAATAAGTGAACAAATTTCAGGCGAGACTACAGCAGGAAGTACTCACCGATCACGATGAAAAACATTCCGCCGAGCTGGAACTACTTAGGGTCCAGTTAACGGAAGTGATGGAGAGCAAAGAACGCGAAGTCAATTTGCAGAAAGAAATTCAAAATGACCTGCGGTCTAAGATCGAGGAATTGACCGAGAGGACGACAAACATGGAGGAGGAGTTGAGAAAAAAGCAGGACGAAGAAATCGCCAAGATATTGCGCCGCTTGGAGCTGGACAGCCACGAGAATGAGAAAACCTTGCAGGAGGAGATCGTCGAATTGAGGAAAAGTAAAGAGCAGGTCGAGAGGGAGTTGACCGATCTCAGGCTGGACCATGAAAACGTCCTGAATGATTCCAGCAGGAAGGACAAGAGCTTGCAGGAGGAAATGGAAGAATTGAGGAAAAGCAGGGAGCAAGTCGAATTCGACTGGTCAGTTGTCAGATCGGAGCATGAAAAGGCGCTACATAGTTTTGAGGAAAGGGTAGGTACAACCGAGAACTCTCTTTACATGTTTTAACATACTTAGGCTTCACAACTGATATCCACTTTCATGAATAGTTAGCGATGAAAGACAGGGAAATCGAAGAGCTTAAGGACTCTTCGAGGCAGACCATCGAGGAAGAGACAAAACGCATTCAGGGTCACGCTAATATGCTTATCGAAAATGCAGAAGCTGTTACTCGCGAGACATTAGCTGCCTGTCGAGCCGAGTGTGAGGAACGCGTTAAACGGACGATCGCCGAAAGTGATGCAAAGGTTATTATTATTATTAATGTTTTAATATTATTTTAATATAGTCTGAGGAGTCATTTGACGAACAAATAAAATGACCATGCAATGATATGAAATTTTAGATAAGTACTATGGTGAGGGAGGCCAGAACCGCGGTGGAGGATGAGATGCGAACAGTCGCGGAAAGGTATAAATCTTGTTTAGAACGCGTGGAGTCCGAAAGAGCAATGCTCGACGAGAAGCTAACTCAAAAGGACGAAGAAGTTAACAAATTGTCGCAGGCTTTCGAAGAGTTGAAAAATTCAGCCGAGACACAGGTGAGTCAGGTGGTTTAAGGGGATGTGAATGTGGCATCCGAGAGGAGAGAGAGAGAGAGTGAAACTTTTCTCCGGACTGAGTATACCGAATCGTATCAAATTTTACAACGTGAATATGGAGGCTATAAGGAAGATACTGACATCCATAAAAATTTATTTTCAATAAAAAACATTTTTTATAAAAATCGATACACCCTGTTCGGAGAAAAGTTTCATAAACGAGACCTCTGTGTCGCAACTTTCACATCACCTTAAGGCGAAGTAAAACCCCCCTCAGATCAGTCGATTCGAATGAACAGAAGTTTGCAACAAATGTATACGGATTCACTTTTGAGACATCAAATTAGTAATTTTATTACAACCTTATGTACTAAAAGTGTATGAATTTTAAGAATTTCTTTAAAGAGTAGATATTTAGAAAAATCTTTCTTACCGACGTCGATCAAGTTCCTCGACGTGTTTCACTTCACCTTAACGAGTACCATCTCGTTACCGGTTTGCTTCAGGTTTGCAGAATTTAATTGCTTCTCTTTTTAGGAGAGCTTCAGCCAGAGTTTACAAGCGGAGCTCGATCGCGCGGAGACGGAACTCATGGATAAGAAAGAAGAGCTGAAAGCTCTGAAAGATCATATGCGGGGTGAGGCGGCTGCCATGGTTGCGAGGAGGAAGAGGTTTGAGATCGTCATGGCAGAGAACCAAGCATCCGTTGCAGCTCTTACCGATCGTCTCGCACAAAGTGACGCAGAAGTCGAGAGGTTGCAACGCGAGGTACAATGTGGAGAAGTCTGTATAAAAGAACACCGAGAATTGCTAAGCGCCCTGCGGGACAGTTCGAAAATGACGTACGATCAGATTCGTTCCCTGATGGACCAGTTAGATGTGAAGAGGGAATTGATGGACCAGGTGGACGCGAGCATTGCGGACTTCGAATCCATAAAGTCAATTTTCGAGGCGAAGATAGAGGGCTTGAAGGACATCGCCGCTAAGGAATTGACCCTGGTCCGTGAAGAGTGCGACAGGAAGACAAAGCTCAATGTTGCGGTAATTGAAATGTGTTTCGCTTCTATATGTGGCCATTAACGTGATATGAAAGGCGCTGAGGAATTTAATCGACGTCGATGAAATGAAATTCATCTATACCCCTTTTGGTGGGAATGCCATTCCGAATACTTAAGTGATAAGATATGCTGCCACTTCACCGACATTTATATTTATGTTGATGTCTTTTAACCTTTATTTATATTTTATATTTATGTTGATATCTTTTAACCTCTACATTGAGAACTATACGAAGTGAAGCGTTACTTATTTCATTTCGGTAAAGTAATGATAAAGAGATCGATGTTAAACTGTCGAAATCCAGGAATTCATTATTCTAACGACTGTTTAGGACCAACGGTGCCATCTGTGACGTTTAGCTGTAACTAAATTTTTGCTTTAAAAACATGTGTCAGTTCCGAGACAAGCTAGCATTCTCTTGCAATCGTTGGTGAAAATATTTTTCATATTTTCCCATCTGACTCTGTAATATTTCATTTCTATGATATTTTAAATTGTTTGAGTTAGGTCCTGAAACTTTTTATTTTCGATTCTAAGCGTTCAAGAAGCGTAAAATATTGAAAACGTGTACGGACCACGTCACGTTGGTTCTAGTCCATGATAAGTAAATAAATTTATTATAAAAAATGAAATTTCATGAGTTTCGGGACCTACTTTAGGGCCTCCATATTTACGTGGTAAAATTTAAAATGAATCGGTATCCTCATATCGGAGAATACTGTCACCGATATGACTTCTTAGATATATATAGGCTGACTCTTTCATATCACCTTAATCATCTGCAATATTTATGTTAATTGTGAAATTAATTGATATAATATTTTTGCAATAATCGAGATGTTCCCGTTTCAGTTGAAGGCACAGCTCGACGAGATGTCGACGAAATTGTCAGAGGCTCAGGAATTGCTTCTGAATTTGGAGGAGAAGTACGACTCACAGGTCGTGGAAATCGCTAAGCTGCAATTGGCTAATGAAAGGATGCAACAGGAGATTAAATTATTGTGCAAGGTGGCGAAGGACAACGAGGCTCTGTTCGAAGAACAAACGGATAGGCATACGGAGGAGAAGAACAAAGTATGCATTGAAAGGAAAAGCAAAGTAGTTGTTACTGATTTTCCTTGATTCCATAAATAAAGTGAATATTAATATCCCTCATTTTACAGCTGAAGGACAGTTTGAGTCAGTTAAAACTGAAAGTCGAGGAGTTGAAGAGAACGTTGAAGGAACGAGATGTATGTACATACCGACTATTTAAAAAAGGAGAAATATAATTTTTAATAACTGAATTTGGACTGAAATTTTGTGTGTTGCAGGAGGAAGTAAAGTCCCACGACGTAGATAAAATGCGCTTGTTAACTGTCCAAGCGGAACTGGCCAAGGTATCGAAGGAAAATGAACGACGGGAAAACGTAGAAGAGTACGTAGGACGAACCGTTAAATGCAAATGCAGAATATACATTTCACAGTTAACTAAATTATTGTCCATTCCGCAGGGAATATAGAATCCTGTCGGAGAATTACCAGAGACTGAAAGCCGAGTTCGAGGACGTCGCGACGAAATACTCCGAGATTCTCGGCCATCACAATCACAAGCAACGAATAAAGCACATCTCGCAACTTAAGGAGAAGATCTGTCGATTGGAGCAGGTTTGTTCGTTCGTTATTTCCTTAAAAGGATATGAACGCTAAAACATTTAATCGAGGTCGATAGAATAAAATTCATCTATACCTTTTTTGGGGGGAATGCCGTTTTGAATCGTCTCTTAAGGTGAAGTGAAACCCCCTTCAAATCAGTCGATTCGAATACAACACTTTTTTTTTAAGGGTATTAGACCAAACTGTCCGAAACATTGACACATCACTCCTGATCATTTAAGAATTGTCCTGACACATTCAATACTTAGATTTTTGGACATTTTTTAACTCAGCCCAGACCAGAAACAAAATGCCGTCGAGCTCTCATATTTCGATCAGTATACAATTATCGAAGGCTCTGATATGAGAAACGAAAGGGTCAGAACAATTTTACAACAATTTAGAACACTCTGGTAGTCGATAAACTCGCATTTGAACGGAATAAAGGCAAAAAAAGGGTTGTATGCGCTTCTATGCTAAAACGATGGTAATACGAGGTCTCGGAGTGAAAATTTAATTGACCTGGAAATCACAGATGGCGCAGGGGGTCCCTCTGCAGTCAATTAGGGGCCTAGAAAGCATGAATCCAGAAGATTTCTGGAGTTTTACTTCGATTTCTTGATATTTATTGTACGAAAACGACAGGTGGAGTATGCCATTTGGTACAATATCCAATATAATTTGATACAGCTGTCGATATAAAAACGAATGTCGGCAACGTAGGCATTTAGAAAAATCTTTATCGACGTCGATCAAGTTCCTCGACGTATTTCACTTCACCTTAAGTTCTGAGGTAGAGCGAGGAACAAGGGTCGGTAATCCAGTCTTCCACCTTCCAGGAGGTGGAGTCAAGGAACGTGATCATAGACCATCAGCAAAAGTCTATTGACAAGCTGAAAGAAGACAAGCGGTTGCAGTCCAAGGGCAAGGAAAACCGCCTCGTGGCGAAAAGCGCGCACACGACGCCCGTCTCATCGCCGCTGAAGCCAGCGACGCCATTACGCGAACGGAACGAATAGTAGTTAGTTAATTAGATGTCCTTCAATATGGAAAGAAAGAGCCGGAGAATATCGTAGATGTAAATTAATCAGAGCCGGAGAAAGGTAGCCGTCATATGTGCCCATAATTATGAAAGTGGTCTAAGTCAAAATTAAAAAAAAAAATGAGTTTATCAGTTATTTTACGCCATATTATTTCGAACGAAATTCAATGCAATTTCGAAACAAAAAATATATGACTTAGACCACTTTCATAATTATGGGCACATATATCCTCCATCTACACCGTTCTACCTGGCGAAGCCAATCCCGAAGAATATCCGTAAGAACGGTCATATACTTAATCATCCCTCATTGTTATCGAAAGTCTTCACGACGTTGTGTTATTAAGGTTTGACCACATCATGCATCATAAGATAATTTTGTTAACGTAGGATACGAAAGAGCGAATTACGCCAACAATTTAACGCGTTAAGATATTTTTTTTACATTTTTCGAATACTTAGCTACTGGCGTAGAGATTCCCGATAGTTTAACCGTAGGTAGTTAAGTTTCTCTTAAATCGTTGGCGTAACTTATATTAATGTCGTTACCCGCCACGTCGTGGATACAATTACTGGTAGTTGTAATAAATGCGATATATATATATATATATTCTTTTTTTCGTAGATCTTTGCCATGTATTAGAGGAGTTTAAGGGGCGAGAGACGGAGATGAAGTGGGAGGTTGTGAACGGTTTTGCCGGCACGTTATTTCCGAGGTCTCGAGCTGGGTCGCGGGAACGGAGTCGTCGGATTCCTCGAACATCTACCCCGGAATCTGGGCTGATCCTTGTACCGGCGGAGCCGCCAAGCGTTTTCCGTGCGGCCGTTCGTGGCGCTTTTTCACCTGGAACCTGTCGTCTTCCTCCCGATCCCGGTCCTGGACCTGTAGGCGCCCAGATAGAAATCCATGATCATATAACAAGGAAAATCAATTTACAAACAATTTGCAGACCATTTGTTGGATGAAATGTCTGTGATCTGACAATTTATAACACTCTGGTAATCGATAAACTCCCATTTGAACGGAATAAAGGCAAAAAAGGGTTGTATGCGCTCTATGCTAAAACGATGGTAATACGAGGTCCCGGAGTGTAAATTTAATTGACCTGGAAATCACAGATGGCGCAGGGGGTCCCTCTGCAGTCAATCAGGGACCCAGAAAGCATGAATCTAGGGGATTCTGGAGTTTTACTTCGATTTCTTTATAATTATTGTACCAAAACGACAGGTGGAGTATGCCATTTAGTAAATTACCCAATATAATTCGACCCAGCTGTCAATATAAAAACGAACGTCGGCAACGTATGTATTTAGGAAAATGTTCTTTACCGACATCGATCATGTTCCTTAACGTGTTTCACTTCACCTTAAAACTCTAATTCTTTCGCAGAATGGCCAGAAGAAAGCGTGTGGACCTGGACGAAGAGAAGTTTTATAAATATGTTAACATTCCGATATATGGAATAAACCTTTGGTATCACCTTAAACTCTGGACCTGGACGAAGGGAAGTTTCATGAATATGTTGACGTTTCGATATATGGAATGACCCTTTGATATCACCTTAAAACTCTGGACCTGGATGAAGGGAAGTTTCCTAAATATGCTGACGTTCCTATATATAAAATGACCCTTTGGTACTACCTTAAAACTCTAATTCTTCCGCAGAATAGCCAGAAGAACGCGGGCGGATCTGGACGAAGGGAAGTTTCATAAACATTAAGAAGTTCTGATACATAGAATGACCCTTTGGTACCACCTTAAACCTCTAATTCTTCCGCAGAATAGCGAGAAGAACGCGGGCGGACCTGGACGACGGGAAGTTTCATAAACATTTAAACGTTCCGATATATAGAACGACCCTTTGGCACCACCTTAAACTTCTAATTCTTCCGCAGAAAGGCCAGAAGAACGCGGGCGGACCTCGATGAAGGGGAGTTTCATAAACATTTAGACGTTCCGATATATAGAACGACCCTTTGGTATCACCTTAAACCTCCAATTCCTCCGCAGAATAGCCAGAAGAACGCGGGCGGACCTGGACGAAGGGGAGTTTTACAAATATGTTGACGTTCCGATATATCGAATGACCATTTGATATCACCTTAAAACTCTGGACCTGGACGAAGGGAAGTTTCATAAACATTTAGACGTTCCGATACATAGGATGACCATTTGGTACCACCTTAAACCTCTAATTCTTCCGCAGAATAGCCAGAATGAAGCGTGTGGACCCGGACGAAGAGAAGTTTTATAAATATGTTGACGTTCCGATATATAGAACGACTCTTTGGTATCACCTTAAACCTCTAATTTCTCCGCAGAATGGCCAGAAGAACGCGGGCGGACCTCGACGAAGGGAAGTTTCATAAACATTTAGACGTTCCGATACATAGAACGACCCTATGACACCACCTTAAACCTCTAATTCTTACGCAGAATGGCCAGAAGAACGCGGGCGGACCTCGACGAAGGGGAGTCCCGGTCAGACCGAGGAGGGACGGAGCGGCCAGCGCGGAAATACCTTGCAGCATACGAAGCCGTCCCGATGAGACGCACCGACACACGCGGAAGTTTACGACACGTCGCGTGTGTCGTTACCGATGCATTCCAGAACCGCGCCCCTTCTCGCTTCCGTCCTCGCCCTCGGATGCGCCGGCGAAATAAAGCGGAGAGCCTCCTCCCCGTCGCGGAATCCTATTCCGTGGGGGCAGGAGGAGAGGAGGCGCATAAAGCGCCTCGGCGGATCGGAGGTGGCCGGGTCATAATTTGAGATTCAGAGTGGCGGGTCCGTGGGTGAGCGAGACGGGATTCCTGGCAAGGAGGAAGCGCGTGGAATTCCTCGAGCGGGCCGTCCCCTCCGCTCGCGCGGCGTCTCCGCACCGCGCCGCACCGCACCGCTCCCCTTTGGGCCCGCTGGAAGGGACGCGTCTTTGGATTTAGTCGGGAGCCACGCGGTGGTCGCTGTACATTCCTCCCAAGACCCGCGGACGGCGTCTTTCCAAACCCTCTTCGGGCCGCGACCCGAGAGATTGATATATGTGCCCATAATTATGAAAGTGGTCTAAGTCATATATTTTTTCTTTCGTTGATTTTTTGCGAATTAGATTGAATTAATTTAGTTTGAAATAATGTGGCGTGAAATAACTGGTAAACTCATTTTTTTTTTCAATTTTGACTTAGACCACCTTCATCATTATGGGCACATATCTCGAGTCGGCGACCTGGAGCTCCATTTTTTATGTCCTTGATGGACGCCTAGATGGACGGCGACGACGTCGGAGTCGAACCCCACGGCCAGACCGCGACTTGGTATCGATTGCCGGCCGAAATAAACCTTTCGCGGGACTATTATAAACCCCGATCGGAGCGATTATGCGGTTATTTTCAGGTGGACCGAATCGATTCGTCTGGCGGATAACCCGGCCGTCGGGACGCCCGGCGAAGGTCGTCGTCCGGGACAGGAAGGTGACGGTTTAGACGGTGGAGGGATGGATGCTCGGTCCAGGTGCATTTGCATATATTTTCTGGATTACCTGGCTTCCTGTTTTTCTTAAGTAGCGAAATACTCGGTAGAGCTTCGCGCCAAATGTATATATGTATATTCTGAGATCGTTTAATTTTTAGGCTTTGTCATCGATTGCGGTATACAGAAGGAAGAGGTCTCCAAATATGAAACGACGGATGTTGGGTTCAGATGCACTTGCAGCTTTTGTTCCCTGGAAGAATTTGCACTTCATCTCTAAGTATGCATGACTACTCCGTAGTACCTAAAGTGTCCCCAAAAGCGAGATTTGAGATTGTACAATTTATAGACTTTGTAAATAGTCATTGATTGCGGTCCACGGAAGGAAGAGGTCTCCAAATATGAAACGACGGATGTTGGGTCCAGATGCACTTGCAGCTTCTATTCCCTGGAAGAATTGGCATTTCATCTCTAAGTATACATAACTACTTCATAGTACCTAAAGTGACCCCAAAAGCGAGATTTGAGATTGTACAATTTATAGGCTTTGTAAATAGTCATTGATTGCGGTCCACAGAAGGAAGAAGTCTTCAAATATGAAACGACAGATGTTGGGTCCAGATGCAATTGCAGCTTTCGTTCCCTGGAAGAATTGGCGTTCCATCTCTAAGTATACATAACTACTCCATGATACCCAAAGTGACCCCAAAGCGAGATTTGAGATTGTACAATTCATAGGCTTTGTAAATAGTCATAGATTGCGGTCCACGGAAGGAAGAGGTCTCCAAATATGAAACGACGGATGTTGGGTCCAGATGCACTTGCAGCTTCTATTCCCTGGAAGAATTGGCGTTCCATCTCTAAGTATACATAACTACTCCATAGTACCTAAAGTGTCCCCAAAAGCGAGATTTGAGATTGTACAATTTATAAGCTTTGTAAATGGTCGTCGGTGCGGTCCACGGAAGGAAACGTGCCCAAATATGGGACGACGGATGTTGGGTCCAGACGCACCTGTACCTTTCGTTCCCTCGAAGACCTGGCGTCCTACCTCTAAGTACCCAGATCTCTTTTATACCATTCAAATTGCTATTACGGAGAGCGAGATTTGTGATTGTAAAATTTTTAGGCTTAGTAAATGGTCATCAATCGCGGACCACGGAAGGAAATGTCCCCAAATACGGAACGATGGATATTGGGCCGAGATGCACCTGCACCTTCTGTTCTCTGGAAGACCTGGCCTCCCACCTCTAAGTACCCAGATCTCCTTTATACCATTTAAATTGCTATCACGAAGAGCGAGATCTGTGATTGGTAAAATTTCTAGGCTTAGTAAATGGTCATCAATCGCGGACCACGGAAGGAAATCTCCCCAAATACGGAACGACGGATATTGGGCCGAGATGCATCTGCACCTTCCGTACCCTAGAAGCCCTGACATCCCACCTCTAAGTATCAAAACCTCCTTCATAACATCCGAATTGCTATCACGAATTGCGAGATCTGCAAGATTGCCCCCAACAGTGAGTTCTAGGCTCGTAAAATTTTTAGGCTCGGCAGTTATCCGACCCGGGCCCCGAGGGTCCCCTCACCAAGGAGCACATAGGTGTGCCCCGGGTGTGGGGAAGGCAGGGCACGAGAGAGGGCACGCCGCACACCGACACGCGGCCCGGGTGTCCCGCAAGTGTATCGTCGAGTACGTAACAGGAAGTAACGCTCCATGAATATTAACGAGCCGTTGCCCCGAGGCCGAGAGCTCGCGGACAAGGAAAGCGTTTACGGCGCGGGGGCCGGGGGTCGTTCCTGAAGAGGTTCCCGAGGAGGTTCCCGAGGCGCCACGCCCTGGCGCGCACTTCGGATCGCGGCGCGACGCGCGCCATCGCCGAGTCCGAGCACGCGGCGAGCGCTCTTGTAATACTTGGAACAGGACGACCCTCTTGGCATACGGTTAGCGTATTAGGAGCGATACCGAGCCGTGGCAAATGCAAAGCCGACCCGGTGGACGGCGTGAGACCACCGAACGCGAGGCCGGAGACCCGAAGCCCTGAATCCGGTAAGCTCGGAAGAGGAATCGATGTCCGGTGAATCGCGACACCCGGGGCTCTATTACGCAAAGCAAATTGAGCGAAAATGTGAAAAACG